GAACTGGATGATATAAACTCATCCGACCAACTCGCGCAGAATGTACTAGTTATCAAAGATAAAAGAGCATAAGAACTACAAGGCTTCATCAGAATGCAGAGCATGGTTGTGCTTACTTTTCTTTGCCAGTTTTTAGTAATTTACTGCCAGACATTTTTATTATTCACTGCAGCCTGCAGCAAGCTTGAACAATTGCTTGCAGGCTTTGCCGCAAGGTTGCAATAAGATACAAGCTTGCAGAGAGCTTGTGCTTGCACAAATGAAAACTAACTTATTCTAGTTTGTCAGAGATTTGCAATGACTGTACAAAAATTGGCAAACTACCCATATCCCAATCTATTGATCATGAGTGTTCCCTGAGAATGGGACTTCACAATTATAAACATTCACACTGATAGACAATGGTGGCTTTGAGGAGGCTCCAGACGAGCCAGTGGGGACAGCATCTACTGTACCTGGACTTATAAAATTCATTTCCAGGGTGCCCACTTCAGAAATTGATGCGATTGCTGTTGTTGGAGTTTGGTTTTGAAGAACTGCATATGAATTGATGATGCAATGTACACAGAAACATGTCTAGCCCAGGTTGGACTCCGTTGTGTACACGCAACAGAGTCCAGGGTATGAATCTCTCCTGCCATAGCGAAAAAAAAATTTAACACATTTTTTTTCATATTTTTACTTGATGGAGGAACCTGAAATTTTGCTTACATATTCCTTGTATCCAGAATTGTGCCTGTGCTGGGTTTAGAAAAGGCAAATATGTCTGCGGGCGACGTGTTTAGCGAAAATAATTCCATGCTTTTCAATACGAATTGCCCGTGTGAAGATTATTGCGCATGCGTGCACATGCACACCTACATGTAGCACGCTACTGCCCATAGATATAGAATTTTAAGATCTATATCTATGGCTACCGCCACGGCAGCAAAGGGCACGCGCGTGTACGTCTTCACGCGGAGAGTTCGTACTGAAAATGTTTTCAACCAAAGCGTAGAACTTTCATTTTCGGTAATTTATTACTATTTTTTACTATTTAATTCCGGTTTATTTTTGGTAAACACGTTGCCTTTGGATATTTTGTCTTTGCTAAACCCAGCACAGGCACAATTCTGGACACAAGGAATATGCAAGTGAAATTTCAGCTTCCTCCGTCACGTAAAAATATGAAAATGTGTTATAATTTTTTTTGCTATGGTGGTAGAATTTATACCCTGGACGGCGGTCGTAATGCAATGCATATGAAGACGTCGTCCAACCCGAGAAAAGTCCAAACTGTACAATGTCATAATAACTTTCTTGCGTACCCGTGACCTTCCGCCCATCCTTCTCGACGGGTACCCAGAATGACCGCCCATCCACCTCGACATGCTCGATGGGTACCCAGAATGACCACCCATCCACCTCGACATGCTCGATGGGTACCCAGAATGACCGCCCATCCACCTCGACATGCTCGATGGGTACCCAGAATGACCGCCCATCCACCTCGACATGCTCGATGGGTACCCAGAATGACCACCCATCCACCTCGACATGCTCGATGGGTACCCAGAATGACCACCCATCCACCTCGACATGCTCGATGGGTACCCAGAATGACCACCCATCCACCTCGACATGCTCGATGGGTACCCAGAATGACCGCCCATCCACCTCAACATGCTCGATGGGTACCCAGAATGACCGCCCATCCACCTCGACATGCTCGATGGGTACCCAGAATGACCGCCCATCCACCTCGACATGCTCGATGGGTACCCAGAATGACCACCCATCCACCTCGACATGCTCGATGGGTACCCAGAATGACCGCCCATCCACCTCGACATGCTCGATGGGTACCCAGAATGACCGCCCATCCACCTCGACATGCTCGATGGGTACCCAGAATGACCGCCCATCCACCTCGACATGCTCGATGGGTACCCAGAATGACCGCCCATCCACCTCGACATGCTCAATGGGTACCCAGAATGACCGCCCATCCACCTCGACATGCTCGATGGGTACCCAGAATGACTGCCCATCCACCTCAACATGCTCGATGGGTACCCAGAATGACCGCCCATCCACCTCGACATGCTCGATGGGTACCCAGAATGACCGCCCATCCACCTCGACATGCTCCACGGGTCTTCAAGCTTCTCATAATGTGAGTGAAATCTAAGGTGTTTTCCTTAATGAAGAGAAAGAAAATTAAGAAAGGATGACCCAACGATTTCATATAAAGCTGCTGCAAAGATACTCATGAATGTGGAACAGTGCTTAAGTGGGCATAAAACCAAAACAGGTGGCAGACAAGATCAGACACACTTTAAAAGACTTGAATGAGCAAGAATTAGCAAGTGCAAAGCCATCAGCAACAGAAGAAAGGAATATCACAGAAATTCCAGTTGCAGAGACAAAGGCAAGACTTGCAAAGCACATTCAAAATTTGAAGATTCCTTCAAAACGTCACTAACAGTTCAACAAGGGCAGAACAACAAGAGCTGCTTTGGTGTACTCGTCCTCATACAGACCATTCTCTGAACAGCAAATAGATGGGATGGTGGTCTTGTCTGTCTTCTGTCCACACAATTCAACAAAATTCCTGGAAAATGTGACAAAAGTTCTCCTACTGGAAGCAGTGGTCAGGCTACTGAAGGAGGTGATGGGCTTAAACTTAAACAGCCCTGAAGCCTTGAGTCATCACAATCATGGTGTCTTGTTCGAAACCGCAGCACGACCTTAAGTTCAAATAATGATGGTGTTCACATCACTGTTAATGCAACGAGGCTTCAGTTGCATGTACATGTACATGTATGTAATCCAATGCCTATGCCAAGTTTTAGAGATAAGAAATCATTTTCACTGGATACTTATTCTGGAGTTAACGGTTGTGTCCATAACATTGTACAGAAAAAAACAGCCAACAGATGGATCTCGATGACTTTAATTCATTGGAGATGAGTGATTTTCCCTAGATGCTCGTACCAAGGCCTTGACAAGAGATGCTCCTGCCAAGACTTCTTCTAAAAATCCTTCAACCGAGGTCCCGTCTCAAGATCCTTCAACTGAGGCCCACTCTTCTGCATTGCCAGGTTATTGTTACAAGGTACCGTTGCAAGGACTGTTGATGTATTTACCCAATCACTGGCTTACATATTGCTTGATCAACGCTGGTTCAGGGGCAATTTATCTGCTTGAAGCCGGTCTTTATATCGCATATCAATACACCCCCACATGATAGTCTCGACCAATCAGAAGCCATCTACATGTACTCTCCCAGTGTTCTCCAACATGTAGAACAAACCTGGCGCCCCGCCGTGCTTTCTGCGGCGCCCGCCATGTTTAAGAAGTCCCCGCCAAGCTTTAAAATCCTGCCGCCAGGTTTAATTTTTTTGACTCTACAGTGTACATTTACAACTAAAATAATTAATTTCAGTTGTTTTTCCACACATTAACAATGTATTTCGATGTCTCCCAGCCCGATCGGGGTTGTCTTAAAATCTCGCTGAATCAATCACACGCACAGCCGGCCGTGCAAACACCAGCGATTCCCCATGCACTGTACGTACGTACGTACTATACTATTAGGTACGCGCGATGTACACACACTGCACTGTACTGTACTGACAACTGAATCCCCAGTTCCGGAGTGTGCCGATACTTCAAGTAGCGACAACCCCGCCGCAAAAATATATATCTGTATTAGTACACACACACACCAGCAGGAGTACGTACGGCAGATCTTACGTGCAGCCAACCGACTTTCTTTTTCTCAGTGCTGCTTGCACGCGCGGTACACAATATAATAATACGCATTGATGTTTTTGTACGAGGCAAACGAGCTCGAGGCCAAAACACGCGTGCACATGGTGTTCCGATCATGCCGATTGTCAAAAGTTATAAATGGCGATCGTGTATGGGCCCGGTTCCCTAAGAGAACAAAATCCACTTTTAATTTATTTGACTTACCAAACTAGTTGGCGACATTTAAGAACATACAGGTAGGTCATAAATAGAGGGAAATTTGGGGGGAAAATGACGATGACAACGACAAAACGCAACATGAAAATAAAGATGACGATCGCACGGCACCGGCACCACCCATAAAATCGCGTTGAGAAAAACGTAATTTGTATCCCATTTTGTTTTTCAAAATTAAAAAAAGGTGTCATTTGATCTGAGAGAAGTCTGCTTTAGGTTGAAAAGGAAATTTTTGAACGCTAAAAAAAATCGGGGGAACTGGCCTGGAGAATCGCCTCAGATTGCACCACAGAGCATCTAGAATCCAAAATTTTCCCGGGGCCCTTAAGCGGGCCCCGGACCCCACGCCGTAAGGGCTTCGCGCTCCGCGCTCGCAGGAGTCCCCGCCGACCCCAGCGCCAACCTTTCATTTTCAAAGTTGGAGAACACTGCTCTCCAAGGTATTTATTAAGGGAATAAATGTGTGCTCCGGAGGTTTTTATCACTCTGTTTAAGACCGCTTAGAGTCTGGGTGCTGATAATTACCCGAGCCGGAGGCGAGGGTAATCATCAGGACCCAGACTCTATTAGCGGTCTTAAACAGAGTGATAAATACTGACCGAGCTCATATTTATTCCCATTCATAAATACCTTTTCGGTAAAAACAAAATCAAATAATTCGTTCAAAAAATCACAATTTTGTCAACAAGTTCACTTCATGCTTTTTGAAACATCCCTCTAGCAAAATAATGGAGTTTTCAGCTGGCGAGTAAGATGTAAACAACCCTTTTACGGAGATTGACGCGCGCGTAGCATGTTCTGCGCGATGTCGCACCTGGGGCGTTGCGTTTTGAATTTAGAACTACAAAATTCTGACTCGCTGGTAGTGTTGCGCATGCCTACGTGAGGATTGTGAACGTTCAACCAATGAAACGGTAAGAGGCACTGGATTTTTAGGAGTCCACATTTTATTGTGACACTGTAAAAGTGTTTAAGACCAGCTAGCCATGTCTTTATCATCCGTTTAAGACCGGCCACGTGACGGGCTCTCGACCAATAGGAATAGCTAAACTGTCTGAGGTATTTATGAATAATGTTTATTGGTAAGACCATGGGAAAACCAAGTCTTACCGAATAACGATGGGTTGTTTTCCCATGCTTTTCTACGACTATAAGGGCTTGGACATTTTCAGTTGCAAGATCACCCTGTCTACTGAAGTTCAAAATGAGACTGATCTGTAGTCACACCAGTCAATATCTAGTGCAGTACAGGTATAGATCTTTTACCTTTAATTTAAAAAAAGTATTTTTCTTTGACATTGAGGAATCTTGTAAAGCTTCAATTCAAAGACTACACTGTACACTTTCCACAGAAGTTTAAAACGAGACTTACCTGCGCTGAAGGAAGGAAAGAAAGTAAACATGGGATAGGGCTCTGAGTTACATGTACATGTACCAAACCTGAACAGAGTCATGGGCTGGGAAGGATGCAGCATCAGAACAAGAACTGGAAGTGTACAGGGACTGGCATGCAGCAACTGAAATATATGTTTAAAAAAACAGGAAACAACTTGAACAAACAAATATCATAAAATTTTAACACAGATAAAGACAGATTTACTTATTACAGGAAATTGAAGAAAAAAAAATCGGGGAAGGGGGAAATGTGATTTTCTTCATGATTTTGTCATCCGAGGTTATGGGAATCAACACACTTCTATGCTAGCACAGTGTACTACCAATAAGTCTCTGTACTAATGACGTCGCACTTTGTTTACATGTGCAGTGTCCTATGGAGCCAGCGGGGGCCCATGGTACACTGAGCACCATAGGAAAGCACACACGTGAACAAAGTGTGACGCCATTAGTACAGAGGCTTATTAACATTTTAATTTTGTGATGGCATTTTGTCACTATTTTACCCCAAATTGGTAAAAAACTACTACCCTTTCTGAGACATTCCTGCTTGGTGTTCAACATACATTGTGGCCGTTAGATGAGTCCAATATTACACCTGAATTTGTAAAAGTATTTTTTTTGTTCTATAAGGCCAAAATATATTTTGTTCTATAGTTTTCTCGACCCTGCATGCTTCCTTTTTCCCGCCTGCCTTTACAAAACAAAACCTTTAATTCACACATTTGCAATATATTGTCAATATCCCCATATTGGGGAAAATAAAATGCCTGTCTCCTTGATTGTTTCAAAATCCCAGACAAGAAACTATTTTATTTGTTTTGCTTGGCCTCATTTCTTTCAATACAAATGCTGAGGTGAACAATAGCCCATGGAGTATGACCATAGTCATGTGCAGATATACGGTTAACTCCGGCTAAACCAGCACTCTCGGGACCCGAGAATTTGTGACGACTTACGCGAATGCCCATATCTGCTGTAAATCGTCATTTTGCCGACTTACATGAATGGTCTTTTGCACACATGATTCATTGCACCAATTGGCATTGATTTACCCTGGATTATTTCCTTAATGCTTGAGTTGAATCCAGCAAATTAATCCTCGAATTGTATCATCATGTTTGGGGTATTGATAGTGGAGACCACGATACATATATGTACGTGCACAGTAACTAATTAAATGCGTGCATGGTTCGGTCCGGTATATACCACGCACGCATTGACTGCAGCAGAAGTCATTCAATAAGACGACCCCCAAAATGGACAGAGCGCATGCGTACAGCCTAGAGTGGGTACTTGTATTAATATGTTCACGATGCATATATGCGATGTATGCATAGGACACCCTTTTTCGACACCGATACATGCAGCAATCACGTGCCGTGCGAAACCACTTTTCACTCGACACTTTGCCAACTGCAGTACAGGAAGTCGATGCCAATGTGTGATTTGTTGAATGCCAACTTACACAAAGGATTTTGTAACGCTTTTTATGGAAAGGGGACCGAGAGTAACACGACGACTTGAGCGAAATGGCGACTTATAAAAGCTGACTTAGAAATAAAAAATTAAATGGAAATGCATTACGGACAATCGGGACTTTAGTCAGATGGCCGACTTGAGCGATTTGACGAGTTGTACGATGTCAGTTTAGCCCGAGTTTACTGTAGATATCATCAGAGAACTATAAGTGAAAATCTCCACGGGCCAATCAGTGGTTCATAGTAATGTTGTGCATACCCGACCCGAAACCGATAACGACCCGAAACCGACTTTGGGTAAGGTTGGGTCGGTTTTTCCATCATTTCAGTCAGGTCGGGTAGGTTTTGCTATCTTGTGAAAAACCTGAAATAAACCCAAAACACAAAACCAAAACAATTCACGCAGTGCAATATTGTTACAGAATTACTGTGCCCAGTACAACCAATATCAACTCCCCCCCCTACCTAAAAATGTCCCTACCTACTTACGGAGCCTACCCTATTTTCAAAAGCTATGTAATCGGAAGCAGACTTTTTTTTTTTTTTTGGCCTTAGGATTCTTACATGAAGCTGAGAGACGAAGATTTTCATGCAATGCGGGTTAAGTTCAGGCATAAAAAGTGGACACAGTTATCCAAGCCTGCTATTTGTTTTTTTCTGGGTTGGTTCAGTTTTAGGTCAGTTTTTGCTTGAATTTTTTTCAGGTCAGGTCGCATCGGTTTAGAGGAGTTCAGATCAGTTTCGGTTCAGATTTGGTTTATCTCTACAATGTTTCGGGTCGGTTTGGCCTGGTCAACCGGACCCGATTCACAATATTAGTTCACAGCAGCTTAGAAGGGTAACAAGGAGCTTGCCTCACATCAATGTGTTGACAGGAGATGTTGATGCACCCTACGGTTGAAGAACGGAGCACCACTGTCTTTGATCTCTCCCACTTCACCATCTGGGAGACTGTTCCAGACACGGACTGCAGTGTGGATGAAGGTTCTGCCGGTGGAGTAGGTCCTGGAGACTGGCTTGGAGAGTGCATGGCTAGGCATTGACAAACTGAGGCGTGTTGCGGTCATATCTCATCATAGAGCGGGGGCAGCATCTAGCCTTCAAGCCTGGTGTCCTAACAGAAATGAGACCCATAAAATAAGTTCACCTCTGCAACACTGGCTTCAAATCTGCACATTAAATGACAACAATTTAAGTCCGAGTTGTAATCAAATAAATAGTCAATGGACGAGACCAGATGTCGAGAGCTCCCCTCGCAATCCTGAACACGTTAAATTTTCGACTCGTGTTTGAACAATGCGATGTGGTCGTGCCCAGCGTGCCTAGCTTGAACTGGTTTCCACTCATAAAAGATGCCCTAGTTCCCGACTCCCTATCATCATTTGAAATGCACTTGTGTTTACAAACAAACGAGACCCAGTCTGCTCATTATCATAATCGATGTATCGCGCTCAGTAACGGAATCGCACTTGGGATAGGGGGACTAATGAATGAACGCTGGGCACAACCACATCACATTGTTCAAACACTAGTCAGAAATTTAACATGATCACGATCGCGAGCGGAGCTCTCAGAATTGAACGGGAAATTTCACCCTTCATCCGAATTGTAAGTAAACTTTAGTACCTCGATCTTAATTATTGATCTCTACTTGTACCTCAGGTGGCGTATCTAGTAATTTGGAGGCCATTTTGAGGGTGAAATCTGATGTTTTGTTGGGCAATGTTGGGTTTTGGGTCAAGAACAGAATTGTGTCGCACGATGGCAGCGATTAAGCTTGGACCCTACTATCGCCAGACCATGTCCAAATGTTAAAAAAAGGTGATAAGTTGGGTCCAAGTTACTCGGACTACATGTATAGTCGGACTCCCTATTATCGCGGCATCCCTATTATCGCGGCATGGGAAATTTCTCTTTTTGCGTTGCCAAAACTCTTCAAGTGGTGATTTTTTTTTCAGTTTACCAGTCATTAAGGACTTTTTGCCGAGTTGTATAAAAAGGGCGATTAAAAAATGTTGTGACTTTTAGGGACTTTTAACGATTTTTAATCAATATTAACGTTTTCCAAAACTTGCAAATGTTCCGTCACCGTGTCTGCTAAAAGTAGGCCTACCCTCTATATTTTAACATAAATCTGTTATGGTGCCCGTGCCATGAAAGTTCCATTGTCTAGTTCCCATTCTTCAGCTGCAAATGTAAAATGAAGTCGAAGGACGATATTTGCACCGCGAAATCGTAAAAACTTTTACGGGATCAAAATAAGCACAGTGCTTTAACAAAAATATAACGGCACACCGTGTAAAGTGAATGGCGCCCCCTATCGCCAATCAGTAGACTGGCCTCAGTAATTTGTGTTCTCCTTTCGAGGGTCTTAAAACAATCATCCTGTAGTCATATAGTCTTTAATCAACTTGAACGTTACAGGGAAAATATCAGACTTTATTCAGGGGATGTTTTGGTCAAACATTAATTATGAATAAAAAAGTTAAGATCATTATAAAAACCACTTCCGCATACCGCGATAATACAGATTCTACCTTCGGTCGCACACTCCGAGCATGTCTATTTTCACAGGCATCGTACACGGAATGAACAACACCACCGTCAGATTTTTTTATATCAATTTGAAAAGGAAGAGTAACTTATACCACAAAAAAGACAGGACAATTTGGGAAGGTTAATGGTCAATCTCTATTCCGATTGAGAAACGTGATATTTTACCGCAATAATATAGGGCAACCATGGCAACCCATCCTACATGTACATTTGCGACACAAACAAAGGTACATGTACAACTATAGAATGCAGGGCCACTACACTCTACATCCGCGCCTCCGTACGGCTGCGTGGAGGTGTGGAGCCGCAGTCGACCTACCTCCGAGAATTGCGCCCTCTATCGGCGCGCGTCTCTGCGACTCCGCACCTCCAGTGCCCCGCGTCTCTGCGACTCCGCGTCTCCGTACCGTGGCTCCGTGCCCCGACACATTTACAAGCGCGCCCTCCCTTCCGATCATTGATGAGAAGACAAGTGCATTCGCTGTACTTAGCACTTTTTGCAGGTTTGCATATTATTATATTGTAGCCTATTACTCCTATACTCACATCGCCGGCCTCGATCCATGCCTCCAAGCAGAATAAAAAACCCTTGCTCCGGCGTGGCCCTGCATTCTATTGTTGCTCCCAAACAAATTAGGAAAGAATGTTGCAACCTGACGCTGTTTTTTTTCTTCATATATCATCTCAATAATGTGTGTCAATGAAGGTCAGTCATTGCAAAAACGAAGTGGCTATCGTTACGGCAGCCGTTGTTTAGCGCCCTCTACGATACTTTTTTGATACGCACGCAGATATATAATTATTTGTTTCCCCACGATTTAGCGAGCAGTGTTACAGCTCAGTCGATAGAGGGTAGGATTTTGCACCGCGAGGTTGCGGGTTCGCATCTCAGTTTTGCACTCGAATTTTTTTCCTTTTCTAACCTGAGGCTTTGGAGGATTTTTTTTTAAAGGGAAATAAAGTCCGAATTTCATAACGTTCAAATTCACTTTTTTCCTTCTAATTTTATATTTTCTTCTCATGTTTTTATAAAAGTTTCAGTCTACCGTAACGATAGAAAATGGGAAATGCATTACGGCTGCCGTAACAATAGCCACTGTGTTGCAAAAATTATATGACATGAATTTGAGACTGAGAAATAGGCCTAGGGCCTATTTCCCATTTTGTTATGTTAGGAAATAATTAGATTCGAACATTTTCTTGACTCTCCGTAGACTTTCTACACAACCGCTGAAGTAGCGTCATGTTGCAACATTCTTTCCACAAAGGAAACTATACCTTCAGTTTGTGGAATCTCCTTGCAAAGTAGTGATGCTTTGGGAACCCCGCCATGCCCGCATTTTGCAACTTCGGTCTGAAGAGTCTGCAAGGTCACAGGCCCATGACGTCAACCGTAAAGTCAGCATCGTTGATTTCTTGAACCATTATTTAGTACGGCAGCAGTGCCTGCGCCCATACACGACACGTGCAGTCGTGACGTGTACATATCACATGATCCATATTTTGTCGACCGTGCGAACATGTACGAGAATGCATCGATGAAAAACATCACAAAACGCAAGATGTATAACTGCATCGGAAAGCTATGGTTGAAAAAAAAGTAATTCTGATTTTACCATTAAATGATGAAGGAATTTTACAACTTGCATGGACCCGGCCCGCCAAGCATACCACCAGCACCACCCCCAACGCGATCTGACTTTGTACTGTACTTGTACGTACGGTTAACTAACTTTCAACAGCGCCACCACTTGACCAACAACTTTGAACGCACATTATTTTTTAAAAACTTTTCAGCAAATAAACGTAATCTTGGTTGGGATTGCATGAGGATTGTTGGGATTGTATGAGGATTGTTGGGATTGTGAATTTTGAGCAGCAAGGTTGTTGCTTATTGGAATGTAATGTAAATAAAGATACTTGTTCTACTTTACTTAATCTGGAATATGTTTTTATGTTTGTATTTTTTTATTATTTATCTCAGTGCGTGATCCATTCAGTGAGAAAAACTCACTGATCTCCCATGGGTCCCAGCTCACACAAAACTACTATTAAAATACAATTAAAAGATGAGAGTACAATGTAAGAATGTTAAAAAAAGTCATTTAAATAAACTTAAATAAAATAGGAATTACACAGATGAAAAGCAGAATTACGCAGATGAAAAACCAGACATTTACAATACAATACAAAACCAACCACTGCAAGATGACATCCTGCAGCACCTGATCTATGGAATAAGTTGCTTGCTGTAATATCCAACAATCGCGGTCCATTGACATTTCTAAGCGTAAAGTAAAGACCTATCTCTTTAAACTGGCTTTTAACTTATTGTGTGTGTGATTTCAATGGGTCCGAGGACCAGGGCCCAGGTCCTCAGGAGAATTTAAACCTTAAAGGAGCTGTCGAGAAAAAGTTAGAGTAAATAAAAAAGGGAACAAAAGAAGGAAAGGATCAGGTCCTCATGACTGAATATAATAAAAGCGAGCTGTATGTCTGTGCGAGTGGGTAGGCATTACATTCACTGTGTGGACTTCCGAACAAAAGAGGTCCACATAAACCAGGTAGAGGCGACGTTGTGTGGACTTGGGCAAGTCCGCAGAGTGTTTCCCCATTTCTGGAAAACAGGTTTAGAGGCATTTTTGGGGTTAGGTTTATGTGGTAAAATGGAGAGAAACACTAAAGGGGATCATAGGGGGGAAATGGGTTGAAAGAGTTTTCACAGTTTGAGAAAATGAGTTTTTTCATTTTTTTTTTTTTAACTACACGAAACCAAGGAAATGTCCACACTTGGTATGTAACGTAAACATGGGTGAGTGCATGTGTGTGTGGGGGGAGGGGGGGGGGTTGAAGTATGGGAGTTGGAGCAAAGTATGGGAGTTGAAATGACCCACATTCTCTAGGGCTTTTTGACGGCCCTTGTTTTCAGAGTACCATTTAATGAAGAGCGGCAACAATTTCTCGTCAAGGTTGGGAGATAATGTATTTTTTAGCGCCTGTTCATGGTAGAAACGTGTACCTCATTGTATTCGCATTGATATATTATCATGGGATGTGCTCCACCAACTCTCGCTTGTCGTTCCCCCAACACGAACTGCACTCTACACGATTGGTATCACCTCTCACCCATACAATGTATTCATACTTAAAAGCATAATAGTACCAAATTACATGTGTATTATCAAAAAGTTTATTTAGATTGGAGATCCCCACTGGCGCTGAACACCCCCTGAAATTATTCCGCTTGATAGGTGTATTCCAACGATCACTCAATATTGACTGAGTGCTATGGGCGCAATTGTTTCGTGATCAAGGTTGTGTAGGTGCAGATTTTCCCAGTTCTCTCAAAAAGCTCAATCTCCACTGAGATGAAACTTCAACAGATTAGGTTTGGGACTGGTGTTACTATTGAAAACAAACGAAATGCATGAAATGCAAATGATCACGTATGCCTTTGAAGCTTGCACTGTTCCCCCGCCCCTTAATGGGAATATCGTGCTTTCCCCTTTCTTATATACTGTAGCTCAATTTATAAACAAGGAAAACAGAAATAACATCCTCTCTTTATAACGACTTCCTTTTTTCTCCGATTTTCTTATATCTTCATTTTGAGAAGGGCCGCTGGTTTCAAGTTTGTGGTTGGAGATCTCAATTCATTAAAAAGGGGGGGGGGGGTACGTTTGCAACTTACCAGCAGTTTGTTATGTAAATTGTTAATATTAGAAATCGCCTTGGGTTCTCTCCCTGCTGTTTGCAAAGTTTTACAACAGTCAAGTGCTGGATATGACACAGAGCTTTTTTTCTTTTACTGAAGAAGTGCAAACCCGACCTGAAACCAAAACCGAACCAACCCGAATAAAATCGACTTCGGTTCTGTTCGGTTTGGCTATGAATGTAGTCAGTTCGGGTCGGTTTATGTTTGCGATGTTTGAATCGGATCGGTTAAGATACATTTTGAGAAGAAAAAAAACAACTCAAAACCGAGTCAAACCTAGACTTGATCACATGTCGTTAGATAGTCGTATTTTGCCTGTGAACTTCAGTCGAACTCCATCGGCGCGGCTGGTATAAGACTAGTAAGTAATCGGCGGGGTTACGACATATCTAACGACTTGAAGGTTACCTTCTCGACCGTTATTCATATAGGGCCTATGCGTATATTATATACATCATGTGCAGTATATTTTTGCGGTGAGATCCAATGTCGCACCGCAATGCAAAATGAGGACTCGTTTATTCCGTTGGAGTTCTTATCAATACATCGGAACGTGTTTGCAGATCGGGCGACATTTTAATTGCCAAATCACTCATCTTGGTCAATTGTGTATAGAAATAAAATGTATCATTGTGATATATATCCTTGATTTATTTGAGTCGTGTAGGCCCTGTAATGAATTTTGGAATGTTACACAACACAAAACACAAACCCTCGAAATAATGAGAATGACCTTCCGTAGCGGCCTACAATCCCGGCCAAAATGGTTGGGACACTTCTTGAGCCTGACACGGTCACCCACTCCCCCACTCCTCCGGTCAATGTTGTTCCCAGCTGATGGAGCACACACCGCGCAATGAGAGACAAAATTGAACGGGGGCCGGGAGAGGGTGGGGGCCCAGCGAGATTTGGCACGGATTGTAGGTGCAGGTCAGTAAATCGGTCCGAAATTGCCTACACCGGCCAAATCACGATTTACATGCCCCTATAATTATTCAGTATTTAAGCACACTGTGGGCACATTGTGGGCCATGCACTGGAACGTGAGCTTGTATTTCTGTACAATTTGGATGAAATTGGGGCTCTAAAAGGGATGATTAGGCCTATATTCGGGTGGAAATTTCTCCCAAAATATTCATCAAGTTGAAGAAAGACCATGAAATAAGCTTTAAGTTTGATGTGTGTCTCGAACACCTTGGAGAGTAAATTGTGAGTATATTTCCAGACTTTCTGAAGTGGAGCCATTTATCATTGGGGTCTTTATTGCACCCATAGGGACACTGTTAAAAGCGGGCCCTTATTATGGACGCTCTCGGACAGTAGGTGGCGCTCTTCATCGCTACCGACTGACGTGACTCGCTTTTTCCGATGATGTCGCCGGCCCCTTCGCGCTCCCCCCTCCCGGCTCGCTTTTAAAATCTGTGGCCAGTTGCAATTTGCAACTGTGCACCCCCCCCCCCCCCCCCCCCCGCTATGAAACTGCCCTGTGGTGGGTATAAGCGGCGCTAAGAATGTCGGTAAAAGGAAGAACAAATATCAAGCAGCGGCATCCATTTTTAGAGATCTTCGATATACCGCATCGTCACGCACACATTTTTTTTTAAAATAAAGTATGACGTTTTTAAAAGTTGTTATATAGAGCCCACGTGCCTTTAAAAACTTTGAATTTTCTTTTCCGAACGAAATATGAAGGACTATTATGTCCTGTAAAAATAAATTTGCTTGTTTGAGTTTGCAGGCCTTTACTCAGATTTGAAAGTTGGCTTTAACTGACGCGCTCCAGTTCTGAAATTGCGCACACTATTCAAAACGAGCGTCCCGCCCTTAATTCGAAAGTTGAAATTAAATAATTGATTGCTTGTTATGGGCCGATTTTTTTCGTGCGATGTCTCATTTGAAAGCTCATTGCAATTTTCGATTTGGGGGATTTAATTCCATTTGTAATTGTAAACACCATAGGCCTAGTTATTTACGATCATAAGACTTTTTTTGACACGACGTATGGAAAGACGTCGCGCCGGCAGATACTATCAAATTCTAGCACTGTACAAGAGTCGCTCAGTCCCCTAATAAAGGAGTGGGTGGCTTCACCCCCAGCTCTGTGAAACAATTGTTTTCATAGAAATTATCTGAAAATAATGTGACCCCCCCCCCCCCGCCCCCCCGCTCTGACGCCCCAACAAATCTATACTGGTAATAACGTCCGCCTGTGCACAACAAACGGACAGCAGAGGCAGCTTTGTCGTGGGGTATTTGTACGCTATTCTGTTATAATATAGCATTAATAATCGTCGGATTTGAACTGCGCCCGAATAGTATGGTGCGAGCTGCCCTCCCCCCCCCCCTGATTTTCGGAGGCCAAAATGTCCGGAGAAAAAAAACCTGTCTACATTGCAGATTTTTTTGGCTGATGAACTCCCCCCTGCCAAAATGTATGGTTCCGCCCCTGCCGCCTATTGGGTTCCACGCTTTTGGCGGGTCATTTATATTCATCATCGGCAGTTTTTCAAGATGTCAAAAGGCAACTTATGAACGGACGAGCCATCGGCTGATATCACGCTGCCTAGCTGATTGGTCGTGGCCCACAGGCCTTCCCACATTCTGGGGACTCCAACAATAATTGCTTACCCCGTTTCATTCTTTCATCCTACATGAGCTACAGAAACTTCATTTGGGTCCAAATAGTGGTATGTCGATATCACATTTCATATCAATGTACCAACTTACGTCAGAGGTGGATCTAGTAACTTTTGCTGGGGATGGGTCGGGAGGAGGGGGAGTGGCTGAGGCCCGTCAGATTCAGATACACATGTACATACTTTATTGTGTCAGAGCAGGAGAAGGGTTCGACCCCCCAGCCCCTCTGGATCCGTGACTGCATGTCACTGACAGTCAAAGGCAAGTCTGTAAAAGCCCCATGTTATGGAATTTTCCAATTCAATCCTTAAGGGTACATTGGGGTTTTCCACTTGACTTTGTTTTTCTATTTTGTATTTTCAGTTTTGAGGGTGAGGGGCT